TGCGGAGGGGGAAGGACAGAGACCTGGGACCCCAGGTGTAGGGGGGATGGGGGTGTGGCCCGTCACCTGCCTGGCTGCAGCCCCAGCAGGCTGAGCCTTGCCGCAGGGACCCCGTGCCCCGTACCTGCTCCGCCGCCGTCCAAACAGGCTGGCTCTGCTGCGTCCTGATGATGTCCTTGATCGCCTCGTACCAGGCGTTGCCGCTGCCGCTGAGGCTGATGGGGGCAGTGAAGGCAGTACTTCTTCATCTTGCTGGCCTGCGCGTAGAGGCGCCTGGAGCTCTTCCTGGAATCGGGCGCCAGCCACTGGCGCATGGCCTTGATGCCCTGACGGCTCTCAGGCTCGCAAAACACCACCACCGGGTAGTACTGCATGTAGTTGAGGCGCTCCACAGCCGAGGGTGTGATGTCCAACAAGGCATGCTTGTCCTGGGGCAGGGCACGGCCATCAGCCCCGCTGGGGACAGGGACGGAGGCCGTGGGCTCCCCCCTAAGCCCTGGCCCACCCGGCTCCAAGGACACGGGAAAGGTCTCTCACCTTTTCTGCGATCTGCTGCACCGAGTCCAACTTGATGACCTTGGACAATGCCCCGTCTCGGGGCACGCTTGCTGCAGGACACGGAGACGTGGCGTGAGAGGGGCTGGGGGAGATGTGGCACCTCCGGCAGTCCCCAGCTGGGTCTGGCCATGCCTGACCCTGGGGCTGTGTCCCTCAAGGCAGGGGCATGTCTGGGGCCTGGCTGGTATCATGATGCATGGGGATAGGGTGAATGAGCCCAGGAAGGTGTTGGGGTGTCATGGGGAGGAGGCAATGAGGCAGGATCCGGACAGAGCCACAGGTAAAGAGCTCCCACGAGTCCTGGACGCTGAAGGTCCGGCTGCTGGATACAATTTCCCCACAGCGTGGGGGGCACTTACGGGCAATCTCGAACAGCTTGGGCAACTCCATGCTCAGCTTCTGCATGGCGATGTCTGCAATGGGCCCCAGGATCACCACTGGCCGCTTGAAGCTGGCTGTGGGGAGAAAGACCGGCTCAGGGAGGCTGGGGGTGAGGGCAGACCTCACAGCACCCAGGCATCCAGCCCTGCTCCTCAAGGTGCTCGTGGGCCTGGGACTCACCCCGCTCCTCCCAGGAGAGTGGAGCCCACTAGCACCCGCAGCGGGGCAGCCCCGGGGCCGACGTCCCCTGAGTGGGTCTGCATAATGGGGACACAGCCCTGGTGCCCACCTTCCTTCAGGACCACTCTCTCATACGGCGGGTAGTGGCCCTGCTTTGTGAGGGCAGACAGGTCCTCCCGGCTCTTCCGCAGCATCTTCTTGGCTCCCCGCAAGCCCCGCAGCTTCCAAAACTCAGCCCGTGCCCCAGAAGGATTGGCACTGGACGTGGCTTTCAGCACCGACTCCAGGCTGGCAATCTGTTCAGCCCTGGGAGGGGAAAGGGCTCAGCAGCTGGAGCCTCCGGATTTACCCCTGCTTTGTCTCTCTGGGCTCCAAGGACTGGGGCAGGAGAAGCTGGCATCCCTGCTTAGTGGCACAGCCAGATGATGCTGTGGTAGCCTCTTCCCTCCGGGACCTTGGACAACCAGAGCATCAACTGCCCCATCACCCCTGAGAAGGGATTTCACCGGCTCACACTTCCCACCGGTGCTCCACCAGCCCTTGCCTTGCCTCTTACTGAGCCCACCATCCATGTCCCCATCTCGCTGGGGAGCCATCCCCTGGCTCTGCTCATCTTGGGGCCATTCCTGGCTCTATCCCTACCTGCTCCGGTTGGGGATGATGCCCTTGTCCTGCTCCTGCAGGTCCCTGCCCATGCGCACAGCCAGCCAGCTCCCCAGCCTGCCCCGGTACATGGTGTCCAGCACATGGAAGACGTCCCCACGGACGAAGCTGAGCCCTGACGGTGTGTCCTTCTCGAAGTCAAAGTGCGTCCGGATGTAGAATGAGTCGCCCACGTTGGATGAGATCATCTTCCTGTAAACTGGAGCCCAGGGTGAGAGGGACCATCAGGGGAAGAGGTGGCTGAGGAGGAAGATGCTGGAGAGAAAGGTGCTGGAGGGATTTGGGAAGGCGCTGGGCTGGCTGGGAGCCTCCACAGTAGTCCTTGCTGCTACAGAGGGCATGGGGGAACACCTTTTCCTCCCATGGCTCTCTCAGGAACAGCAGAACCTGACCCCCCAGCACACAGTGGCCTCTCCAGGCTGAGCCACGGTGCCAGAAAACCCCGTGCTCCAGGATGCCAAGGTACAAACAGGGCCGAGATGGTCTGGTCCCCTCCCATCACCTCTCTGGAGGAGGAGGAGGGGGATGCGGGGAAGAAGGACCACCCTGCGGGGGCAGAAATGGCTGTGGCAAGTCTAGCAGCTCTGATGCTTGCTCAGAAGAGACAGAGGATGGAGAGGCACAAGCCCAGGATGAGTCCGGTCATCACTCACTGTCCTGTTTGCTCTGGGTCCACAGCGTGATGTCCTCGCCTGGTGGCAGGCTCATGAGATACTCCACGGCCTCCTCGCGGGTCAGGTTCTGGAAACTGGTGTCGTTCCCCTGCCGCAGAAGAGCACTTGGACACGGCCCCACCGGCAGGACGGAGGGCACGGTTACCAGCGGGGGTCCCAGGGACGGCCGTGCCCAGGGCAGGGTGGGAGAGGTAACTGTCACCCAAGTGCCTGCCACAAGCCTAGTAACCCTGGG